CAAACACTACACTTAAAATGCACAAAACATTTGTACCGTTTGAGAGCGTTTGGTTAGAGTTGTTGAAGAAGGATCAAAATGGCCATACAAATCTTTGAAAGGCTTCAAACTACGACGTACAACGCCTTCTCTAAAACCGGTCTCAAGTTACATGTTAAAAACAGTGCTTGCGTTTGTCCCTGAGGACGATAGAATACGCGACAAATACGTGTATAGTTATATCAAAATAGTAGCATATAGCATGAAAATAGACAGGGAACTCCGCGTTCCTACGTTTCCACTTTCTAGAAACGGCCGAACTTTTACGGAATATCCAGTCAAAATCTGTCGATTTCTGGCGCTTTTACTGCCACATTGAAAATAACGCTAACACAATGCAATTTGATCGGAGTGCACACACCGCCTGTAAGTTCTTAAAGCGTACAACGACCGCAAGTCCATTTTCATTATATTATATGAAATGATACTGGGGTAGAAAATGTTGACGAATCGACACAATGCGCACGGATCGATAAACGATAAACAAGAGCACAAAAAAACTTCATGAAGGTGGGCGAGGAAGGGATAATTTTGCGTAACCGAGGCTGTGGTGAATTTTGACCATCCGATTTGTCTTAATTTTGATGACGTCACCTTATCCGAATTTCTGCTTTGACGGTTGATGTCCTCAATTGGTCAGTCTACCGACAACTTCCTCGGTCATTTATTCTATAATCCGAGATATTTAAGCGGAATCAGTCATACAAGAAATCAGGCAGTTCGTCAGCATGATCTCACGTTCGCTCGTATTCAAAGTGTTACTTCTTGGTGTCGTGGGTTCCCTGGATAGTGAGAAGAACGCCCCTGTGTGTTCAGGTAAGTGTCAATTCGCCCTAAATATTAGTCACCAGAAGAGTTTGGAGTAGTGCACTTACTGGTTTGCGAAATGAACTCGTTTCCATTCAATCATAAGCCAATAGACTATGTGATGTTCTGGTCGATAATCTAAAGAAATACGAATGAAATACTGACGTCGCTTGCAGTACTTCCATATTTTTATCGCGCATTATTAGCCGCGTGACTACAAAGAATGAGTTTCCAGTAATAAGTATCTTCGAATGGATGAAATAAGCGATGAGAAACACCAGGAAATCCCTAGGTCAAGTAAAACAGCGGTGAAAAATCTATGATCTATCACAATCGTTTAATTGCAAGCAGAGACTGCGTAGACGTGAAATCTAGATCCTTAAGCTCGATGCTAATCGAACATCGTCCTCTTCTTACACTATACCAAAATCGCTCACAGTCTTTTTCTATATCCTAATTCTGATAGCAAAGTATATATTTGAACGCGGAGACTGAATTGCAAATTTACCTTCAATATTATATTGTTGTTTATCTCGTTTACTTTTCACGGTTACATCGTGGATAATTCTGCATAGATTAGCTTACCTGACGTCAGACCACGAGGGGTCCATATTTCGGGTATATATATTTGTGGTAACCGGACCCTTTCGCCAGTGCTTATTCAAGGAAAAAAATCTTAGGATCTTTGTTTATTATTTTGTATCGCACCAATTTTTCAATACAATGCCTTTGGGACAATTCAGGTGAGAGACACTTGGCTCGTTTGTTATTCCAGGTGGTGCTGTTCTACATGTAGGAACGGAACACAGGCAAAAAATCACGCAGTGAAGCTATTTTGGGAAATACTTCCGGTGGCTCTACAAAATTATGTAACTTGATAATATTTTTTGCGAAGTGGCACTAGGCTCGATTTCTGCCGCTCTCTCGAGTCCGGTCTTTTTCGCTCTTCTCCGAGAAGAGACGGCCGTCTCTTTGGGGAGGAGCGCACGCTCCGGTCAACGAACAACAATTGGTAATCGAGTCTAAAGTGGCACGTGCTAGCGCGATAAGCCTGCTGAAAAGTAATCGAGGTACCCAACAACATTCAAGTGAATTAATTTTCTATTTCTCCGCGTAAATTTGTAATTCAGTGTCCGCTTTCAAAGATACACTTTGCTATGAGTGATTTTTAGTATAGAATTGATGGTTTTCACCGTCGCAGCATCATCAAAATCATTTTACAAATAAAGTCAAGCATAAATGCGATAAAAGAAGATGAATATTCAAACAGTTTCGCAAAGGTTCAGGTCTGTGCGATGATTCGTGCGGGAGATATTCGAAGAAATGTTTTACTCAAATCCATAAGGCTTTGTATGGAAACGTTTTTGCCCCTCAGAGCACGAGCGGCCCAAGCGTACTGTGTGTGATTTTGGGGTCTCAAGGTCATTAAGGGGAATACCTAGAATACCTAACATATTAGCCATTTTCTAAACGAGCGGCGGTCTGGGTACGATTTGCCACTATAAAGGCTCTTGGGATCGTTTGGAGGGACAACATGAAGGTAAACAAACATGGCGCACTATAACTGCTGTATTCCAGGCTGCACTAATAGTTACAGAAATGCACCTAACCTTCAGTATTGCAGAATTCCTAAAGAGCCTGATATTACCTAGAAAGTACGTGGTTCTTATGAGGAACGAGACGCTGAAATTAGACTCTACAAGTACGCGGATTTGCTCAGCTCATTTCGATGGAGGAGAAAAACTTAGCAGAACACGCTTGCCTTCAATTTTTCCATGGACAAAACCGACAACTCCACGTAGAGAACTCAAGAGGGCTAGTTTCGAAGATACGCAGAAAATGGAGCAAACCAAAAAAAGAAAAACAACACTTGCTCAGTTACCACTGGAAGCGAACTTTACTAAA